CGGGCATTCGGTCGCGTGCGAGGGCGACCGTCACGGATCGCTGGTCAGAGGAGCTCGGTGAGCTTTGGGGTACGGCTGCGACAAAGAGCAGCGCCCTCGGGGCGGCGTTGATGCGAGCAGTGATGGACGAGTCGTCGGTGTCTCCAGGTTTCCTGTCGGCGACTATGATGTTAGATATTGAAAATTGTACGACGATGTCAGCTTGCTTCGATTAATGGAGGCTTCCTTGGCCCAAGCTTTCCCGCCCGTGGTGACCCTCTTGGAGGTTCAGCTCTTCCTGGCGCCTCGGGTGTTAAAATCCAGGGCCACGTGCAGCGGCGCTGTCTTCCCTGAGCGCTCCATAGTGGCGGGGTCGGCGCACGGAGTAGAGCTTGCACAAAAGTGTTCCTCGGCCCGGTCTTGCAAGGTGTGCACGCCAAGGCAAACTCGCCGCAGGGGCTCCACCAGTGGGCTTGTGGACGCTCGTTGACGGCACCGTCGTCCGCAGCGAAGGCACTGAGTCGCCTGTCAGACAGCAGTTGCGGGCCGCGGGAGCCCAGTTGGTGTCTTCGTTGGTTGGGGCGGAACTGCCGAGTTCGGACAAGACGAAGTTGATCACAGCCTCGCCATCTCTACGCCGTATCCTCGACGGAGATCTGCAGGAGGTCGGCCTCCCTTTTTCCCGAGCTCAGTGCGCTGTTGACCTCGGGTGGGATACTGCAGCAGGCGCCAGACGGGTGGCGCAAAAGCTGCGTGCAAGGAGGGCCAAGGGCCAGCGTCGAGCTCGCAGGATTTTCCGCCTTCGCAAGCACGCGAAACGTTGCAATATCTCGAAGGGTCTCTTCCTCCAAGGGGCCCCTCCTCAAGCCTCCTATGGGCACCCCGTGATGGGCACTCCCCCCTCCAGCATCACCGTCTTGCGACGGCAGGCCGCGTCGGCTGTGGCGGGGAAAGGGGCCAGGTAGGTGCCTCACCACTACTCTGTCTGTTTGGCTCGGCGATAAGGACCCAGCGATCTCGTTGCGAATTCAGCCTGTCACGGCGTGGCTCGACGTGTGGACGCGCACTCCCTGTCTGCACGCTCGCATTGCTCGCTCGTGGCCTCGTGTGCGCGCGCGCATCGGTCGGGACGCTAGCAAGAGATGGCGCAAGGTGAGGGGGCCCATAGGAGCTGTTCAGGCCACCCTCCTTGATTTAAGAGGCCCCAGGACACACATATACATACACACAAATAAAACAATCCCCCATATTTTCCCATATGTCCTGGGTTTTGTTTTCCCCCCCACTTCCCATATTTTCCCATATTTGCCTAGGAATCGACGATTAATTGTGTCTGTGTATGTTTTTTCCCCTCTTGATGGATCTTGGTTGGCTCCCAGTCTCGGCTGTCGAGCGGCGCAGACCCACGGGCGACAGCTGTAGGGCGACGAAATCTATACATATCCACTGCTCCCTGGCCAGGCCCATCCTCAACCCCGCAGCGGTGTATACGCCACGCCCTCCTGGCTTGGCCAGGAGGGCGCATACACAGCTCCTGGGTTCAAGATGGGCATGGTCAGGGAGCAGTGGATATGTATAGATTTCGTCGCCCGAAGCTGGGAGATCTGGCACTTCCCCGGCCCGCCCCCATGAGGAGCAGAGGAGCGAGGATGTGTTCGATTCTGCGGACCTCCTCGAGGACCTCCGCGAGGACCTCTCCTCCTCCCTCTGGGCGGCGGCGGCGCCTCATCTTGTTGGGGAAGGCCTTTCTGCAGGAGCTGATGTCATCCCGATCCGTCTTGAGATCCGTCGAGCGGTTCGATCGGGTGCATACGATGAAGTAGGGCAGCTTATCGCCGTAGTCTGAGGGGGGCAGTGGCCGCAGCAGAGGCAACTGGACGCGGGATATCTCGCTTCCCCGTTGTACCCCCGCTGTGGAGATGCCCGAGAAACACTGTTCCATCGTATATGGCAATGCAGATGTAACCAGGATTCGGGTTATGAAAACGCGGACTCCCTCATCCCACAGGCCTTGGCTGGGCAGGACCAACTCCCCTCCCTTTGGCTTCGTGGCCTTCCTCCGCCTTCTCTCACCACTCACTCATTCGTGGATGGGCGGGGTGGGGCGCCGGTCTGGAGCGTGGGGCGGGATGGGGACGATGCGGAGCGCCCGCTCGAGGCCGACGTCACGGCCCGCGCGTGGCGAGACTCTCACTCCTGCTTGGTCGTCTTCGGAGACGGCTCGGGCGGGCAATCTGGTAGCGACGTCCGTAGACGTCGCGCTGGTGCGGCTGCGGTGGTGACGGAGCCCACCCCGTGCGGCCTGCGCCGCCTTGCTGGTGTCGCGTGCAGTCTTGACGGCCGACGCCAGACGGTCCCAAGGGCTGAGCTGCGCGCCTTCGCGCTCGCCCTGGCCTCATTCGAAGGGCCGCAGCTCTGCGTCACCGACTGCGCTATGCTGATGCGAGGCTGGGAGCAAGGGCTCCATCGCACGGGCGGGGGCACGGGCCCCAACGCCGATCTCTGGCGCCTGATCAGGGCCGCCTTCCTGGCGCACGAGGGCGAGGTCAGGGTCATCTGGACCCCCAGCCACCTTGACCCCACCTCCCCTGAGCTCTCGGTTTGGGAACGTCGCCTGGCGGAGGGCAACGGCGCGGCCGACGAGCTCGCCAGCGTCGCCTCTCGCCGTGCCTGGAATGCGGCACTTGACGGCAGCGCCCCGCATACGGACTCCTGGGACTGCACAGCCGCCTTGGTGCGCAAGCGCGCCAGGCATGCTTTCCTCGACGCGACTGCGGCTGCTCCGTGGACCGCTGAGCGGCCACCGAGCGCCAGCTCTCCCTCCTCGTCTGCCCTCCAGCAGGCGCTCCTTGCCTCCAGCCATTGCTTCGAGCATGCAGGCCGCCACTGGGCTTGTGCCCTCTGTCACAAGTTGGTGCTGGGCTCGCGCCTTGCCGAGGCTTGTGCCTCTCCCTGCTCGGCGGTCGGCGATGCGGCTGAGCCGCATCCTGCCGATGTTACTCGGGCGGCGGGTGCGGAGGTTCGGGTGGGAGGGAGAGTACTTCAGGCGTCGCACCGAGTGCAGCTGTGGCCGCGCCACAGCCTGTTTTTCTGCGCTCGGTGCGGCTTCACTGCCACGACCAACCCCCGGTGGCTAATGGGAGAGTGCGGCGAGGCCACCAGGAACGGACGCGAGAACCTGGCGCGGATCCGCAGGGGTCTGCACCCAGGCCGTCGCGTCCCCGAGGCTGCTGCTGAATGCGATCTGGGGCGAGCTCGCCGCGAAACCGACGCCCCCAGGAGTTTTGTATCCAGAGCCCTCGGGGTTGCCGTGAGTACTGTCCCACCGCATGTGGGTGGCAGGCAATTCCGAGGCAATTCCTCCTCATCATCATGACCAGCATCGTCATCGTCACCGTCATCATCATCATCATCATCATCATCATCATCATCATCATCATCATCATCATCATCATCATCATCATCATCATCATCATCATCATCATCATCATCATCATCAGCATCATCATCATCATCATCATCATCATCATCATCATCAGCAGCATCATCATCATCATCATCATCAGCAGCAGCAGCATCATCCTCCCCATCATCATCAGCAGCAGCATGAGCAGCATCATCATCATCATCATCATCATCATCATCATCATCAACATCAACAGCATCATCATCATCATACTCAACATCATCAGCATCAGCATCGTCATCATCACCATCATCAGCATCAGCATCAGCATCATCATGATCAGCATCAGCATCAGCATCATCATCATCATCAGCATCATCATCATCATCATCATCATCATCATCATCAGCACCATCGACATCATCATATGCACCACAAACATCGTCGTCATCATCATCGTCAGCAAAATCCGCAGCATCATAATCATCATCAATATCAGCATCATCATCATCAGCATCAGCATCTGCATCAGCACCATCATCCCACCTATCACCATCATCAGCAGCATCAGCAGCATCATCATCCACATCAGCATCATCACGATCGCCATGATCATCATCATCATCAGCAGCAGCATCATCATCGTCAACATCGTCATCGGCATCGTCATCATCAGCAGCATCATCAGCATCATCATTATCATCGTCATCATCAGCATCAGCATCGTCCTCGTCGTCGCTGCTATCGTCATCACCATCATCATCATTATCATGAGTACCATCATCGTCATCAGCATCAGCATCAGCATCATCATCCCACAGATCACCATCATCAGCAGCATCATCAGCATCACCCTCAGCATCAGCATAATCATGATCATCATCATCATCAGCAGCAGCATCATCAGCAGCATCATTATCATCGTCATCATCATCATTATCGTCGTCCTCGTCGTCGTCGTTATAATCATCATCGTTATCAGCATTATCAGCATCAGCATCATCATCATCATCATCAGCAGCAGCAGCATCATCCCTATCATCATCGCCGTCATCATCAACCCCCGTTTCAGCCTCTGCCTCCTGGGTAACAGCCTCCGCCTTCTTCTCCCGACCCTTCTCCTCCTCCTCCTCCGCCACCTTTTCATTATCCCCCTCCGCCTCCTCATCATCGTCATCGTCAACATCATCGTCATCGTCATCGTCATCATCATCATCATCAGCATCATCAGCATCATCATCTGGGCATCAGCATCATCATCATCATCATCATCATCATCATCATCATCATCATCACCATCATCATGATTATCATCATCATGATCAGCAGCAGCAGCATCGTTGTCATCTTCGTCATCATTGTCATTGTCGTCATCATCATTATCAACCCCCGCTTCAGCCTCTGCCTCCTGCGCAACAGCCTCCGCCTCTTTCTCCTCCACTCCCTTCCCTTCCCTCCCTCCCTCTCTCCTCCCTCCCTCCAGCCCTCCGTTCTTCTTCTCCCTCCCTCCCTCCCTCCCTCCTCCACGGGCTGGGAGAGGTCGCCGAGCAGAGGGCAGGGGGGGGGCCAATCGTGTGGTAGGCTGCAGCCGCGGCCGCCAGAAAAGAACGCCGTCCTGGGGGTGGTTGTCGATCACGAGGTTGATGACTTCGAGGCGCATGTTTCATTCCTCGGAGACGAGAGCACCGGGCAGCGCCTACCCGCTTCGAGCATCGCCCCCGCGGCACGCGCAGAGACAGCGTCGGCCGCGCCCCATGGTCGACGGCGACGGGGCGACGGGCGTCGCGGGCTCGTCTTCGGGGCAAGCGGCACCAGAACGCTTCCCTCGCCATCGCTCGGACGTCCATTCCCTGTGTGTGTTTTCGGTTTCGTGCGTGGTTTTTTTCGCCCAATGATCAAGGATGCTCCTCGATGGTCCTCGCCGAAGGAAAACTGCACACGTCCGAGCGATGCCGAGTTCCAGGAGCCGACTCGAATCTTTGTGCGTCTCGCTCCGTCGCTCCCCCGCCTCCCCGCCTCCCTGCCTCTGCAGTTCGGGCTGCAGCTCCTGCCTCTGCCTGCCTTTCAGTCGCTGCTGCTGCTGCTGCTGCTGCTGCTGCTGCTGCTGCTGCTGCTGCTGCTGCTGCTGCTTGCACTGCCAGGTGCTGAAGTCGAAGAGCCGCGCCTTTCTTGAAGCCGCAGGCGACTGCGGCCAGGCCAACGAAGCTGTGCGAGGCGATGATGGGGGTGTCCTTCCGACCAGCGACCAGCGACGAGGCGCACTGTCGAGGAGCTGCGCTGCGGCATAGAGCGTGGAGAGGGCCAGGAGAGGGAGGAGCAGAGGGACTGACAAGAGAGGATGCTGATGACGAGTAGGACCTGGAGCACGTGGACGAAGACGAGGACGACGACGAGGAGAAGAATGGAAAGGAGGGAACGATGGGGGATGAGGATAGGGATAAAGAAAGTACGGGGAGGATGGAGAAGGGTAAGGAGGAGGAAGGCAAGGCGTAGGAGAAAAATGAGGAGGAGCAGGATGCGGAGAAGAAAAACGAGAATGAGGACATGCACAAGAACAAAATACATAATTAGGAAACGGAAAGTAGAATTAGGAAGAGGAAGAAGGGAGGAGGAGGAGGAGGAGGATAAGAAGGAGGAGGAGAAGCTGAAGCAGACTCAAGGCTGGCTTTCCGATTCATTTTGGGCAGTAGCGCTCAATGCGCAGCACCGTAGACACGCGAGGCGAAGGTATGTGCACATGCGAAACGTGTGGCGCGAATCGGGTGCGCCGAAGAAATTACAGCCGGCGCGTAGCGACAATTCATCGAAAAAAACAGCGCGCAAGAGCAGGGGACGCGCGAGTGCGCCGAAGAGGGAGGCCAAGAAGACGGGGGGGGGATGCGCAGCATGGCCCGAAGAAGGTGCGCGGACGATGAGCCGAACCAAGAAGAGCAGGGCCATGAGACCTTGGGCTCCCCATGGCCCCAGCTATGAGGTCCACGCCCTTTCGGTCCTCTCCCCGCCCCTCTCGCCTGTCCTGAGGAATCCCGTGAGAACGGCACACGCATCCGATTTGCATCACGGCGAATCTGATGTAAAGCGTATACGGTTCCAATGTATACGGCTCCCATGAGAATCGCACACGGTTCCTGAGAGAACCGTATACGATTACAATGTCTACGACCCCTTTGTGAAACGTACACGGCTTCTGCGTGAGTCGTGTACCATTTCCATGTGTATCCTCGCGATTAGTATGTGAATCGCATGCGGTTCCTAATTGAATCGTATACAGTTCCTCCGTATATCATATACGATTCCTGTGCAAATCGCGTACGACTCCTGCGCGCATCGTATACGAATCCGATGTGAAGCGTATACGATTCCTGTGTGGCTCGTATACGATCTTTGTGTGAATCGTAAACGTTCCACGTTTGAATAGTAAACGGTTCCTATGTGAATCGGAGATGAAACCTATGTGCATCGTATACGATTCCAATGTGAAACCTACAGAACACCTATATGAAACGCACGCGTTTATATTTGAACCACATACGGATTGCATGAGAATCGCATACGGTTCCGAAGTGCATCGTATACATGTTCATGCGACTAGTGTTGAGATCCTACGAGTATCGTATACGGCTCCTGTGCAAATCGCATACGACCCCTGTTTGAATCGTATACGAATCATATGCGAAGCGCAGGCGGCACCTATGTGGGTACATGCTGTTGTTTTGTGAATCGTAAACGAACCCTATATGAACCGTATACGGTTCCTACGTCAATCGCACACGACTCCTATGTGAATACTACATGACTCCTACCTGAACCGCATACGCCTCTCATGTGGCCCGACTACAATTTTATGTGATCCACACGCGTTTCCTGTGAATCGCGGTCGGCTCTTATATGAACCGCATACAAATTCCTATGTGGATTGTATACGACTCTTATGTGGGCCGTATATGATGTCGATGTGAACCGTATACGGCTCCTATGTGAATCGTATTCGACTCCTACGTAAATCGAATATGATTCCTATGTGGACCGCATACGGCTTCTATGTGCATCGTATCGGACGCGTGAGCCGTACGCGATCCTACGTTACTCATAAACGGCTCCGATGTGAAAAGTACACGCGTGCTGCGAATGGTATACGGTTTTAATGTGAATCGTATACGGCTCCAATGTGAATCAAGAACAACCATGTGAATCGTGTGCACATCCTACATGTATCGTATACGACTCTTGTGTGAGTCGCATTCGGCTCCTATGTGAATCGTATGCGGTTCCCATGTGGATCGCATACGACTTCTATGCGCACCGTATACAAAATCCTGTGTGATTCGTATACGATCATACGCGAGTCGTAGACGACTCCTATGTGAAACGTATACGCGTGCTGGGGATGATGTGCGATTTGAAATTGAATAGTTGACGGCATTTACGCGAGCCGAAACAACCATGTAAATATTATACAACTCCTACGCGTATCGTGTACGATTCCTGTGCGAATCGCATACGACTCCGTGAATCGAAAACGACTCCTATGTGAAGCGCATACGATCCCCATGTGGGTCGTGTACGATGCCGATGCGAAGTGCATACGGCTCCTGTGTGAACCGCATACGGATCCGATGTGAACCGTACACGGTTCATATGCAAATCGAGCACGATCCCTATGTGAACCGCACACGACTGCTATGTGAATCGCCTACGATTCCTGTGAATCACGGTGCGATTTCTATATGAGCCGTATACGACCCCTAAATAAACCTAAGGAGCCAGCAAATACTCGAAGGCATCCTCCCAAGAGACTTATCAGATGTCTGAAAGCACTTCTCTAAGAAGCACTACAAACGTCCTAAGAGCACTTCAAAAGAATAATGAATAGGGAATGCGGTTTGGAACTCTTCAGGGTACTTCTCGACAAGTACTCCTTAAGACGCTGTCTGATTACTTGTTGAGGCGTGCTATTGAATACCTTTCCTGGATACTTCTTAAGACGTCTTAAGAGCACTTCTTAAGAAGTACGAGTTCAGAAAGTTTATCATCCGCGATTGGTATCGACTCGGCCAAGATTGGTCCCAAACTCGGGAGCGGCCAAGAGGGGGGTGTCCAAGAGGGGGAGGTGCAAATCATGACCGGGGGCATGTGCGCGGCCCAGCGGGGGGGCCAGGGACGTAATGAAATCAGAAGAGGTGCCATGAAATCTGGGGAAATGGCATGGCCCACGCCATGATATCCACCCCCCCCTTGTCATCACCCCCCTCTTTTCCGCCCCCGATAATAAACCCGAACTGGTCCCAATTCGGAAGTGGGGGGGGACCGGGTCAGCATACCGCCCCCCTGGGGCCCCGGGTGGTCTCGAGGGGAGGCCGCCAGCGGGGCTCCTCGGGGAGAGGTCCCGCCGTCGGGGTCTGCGGCAACGGCCGCAAGGCCTTCGCATTTTTAAAAGAAGGGTTCCCCGTAGCCGGTTCCCACACAACGGGTTCCACCTCGGACCGGATACCACGCACAGGTTCTACATGTACGCCCCCAAGCACAGAAGGATCCGCTCACATCTGCGACCACTCATCGACTTCCGCAGACATGATTCCCCACACACGACTTCACACGTGGAGTTCAGGAGGAGAAGAGAAGGAGAGATGGAGCTGAAGGATGATAAGGGAAGAAGAGAATAAAGAGGAATGGTGCGGCACCGCCTCCCTGTGGCCCGGCGGCGACTCCTTCGGGATGCCGAGCAAGAGCGGCTTCAGGTGCTCGGCCATCTGGTAGGATACCCTGCGCGGGATCGAAAGAAGGCGAGGGAGGAAGAGGAAGGGGAGGGAGGGCAGGTAGGTAGGCAGGCAGGTGTCCTCCCGTAAAGGACTGCATGCTGGGCCCGCCAGCCCAGGTCCTCTGGCAGAGGGTCGCGGGGCCCAGGGGGGCGACTGCGTCGACTCCGCGCCGGGCTACCCTAGGGGGAAGGGCGGGCTCGCTCGTGCGCGGAGGGGGGGGGGGGAGGGGGAGGGCGCGGAGGGGGAGGGGGGCGGCCCGCGGCTGACGGAGGCGGGGAGGGCGGGGAGGGCGTGGAGGGGAGGAGCAGCGTCGGAGGAGTGAGGAGCACGTGGCCACCAGCTCGAGGGAGATGGGCGGCGGGGGGGGCGCCGGGGGGCACCGCGAGGGACGACTGGCCGCTCAGGTCTGAGTTCGGCGGCCTTTCCATACGCCCTGCGACCATACGCGCGCGAGGAGGAACAGGAAAAAGGAGAAAGGAGGAGGAACGAGGGAGCATAAGGGAGGGGGAGGGAGGGAATAAGCATACCCGCTCGCCGCTCATGTGGCCGAGTCCGTGTCCTCGTACGCAGAAATGCGCTCGCGTGCTGCTTTCTGCGCTTGTCCGCGCATGCACGCGGTGCGTACCCGTGTGCATTCGTATGAATGCGGCCCCATCGTCACAAAGAGAACGCACACATTCCACAGACCGTGCCTGTGGACACGAAAACACGAGACAAATATGTGGGCGCCTGTGTCTGCGAAGCAGAATAACAACACGATCGTAAACGGGTGCATCAAGGTAGGCATACACTCAAGCATGCAAATGTGCACACTCACACACACACACACAGAGAGAGAGAGAGAAAAAACAGTTTTTGGCGTTGCGGCCACGCGCGCTGCGGCGCGGCGTAGACGCACACATACGCACACACACACACACACATGGGGTCGGAGGATCTCGCCGCATCGCTGATGCATCGGCCATGCATCGGCGACGTCGGCGATGCATCGGCGCCGTCGGCGTGAAGAAAATCGGGCTCCACATCAAGCCGCATCGGCGATGTATCGGCGATGCGGCGCGACTCCCCGGCTCCACCTGCTCGGACCCCATCTGGGAGGCCTGGGATTCAGCCCCACGCCCAAGTCGGGCGGCGGCGCCAGGCTCCGGAGGAGCGCCGACCGGGGAGCGCCGGCCGCTGCGCGGGCGCCCTCGCGAACAGCTGCTTCCTCCGGTGGCGGTGGGCCGCGGCGGCCAGCACGCACCAGCGCAAGCGGGCGGAGCTGCAGGGCCGTGGCAGCCGGGCAGCAGCAGCCTAAGCGACTGCAGAAGGCCGTGGGCCAACAGGGGCACGAACGCACACTGCGCCCTCGGGGTAGCCCCAAAAGCATGCCTGCTTCAGCCTCTGCATCGCTCGCTCTTCTGCCTTGTTCGGGACGCTCTCTGCGCTTCTGTGTGCCACCGACGCCCGCTGCCGCGGCGGGCGCGAGGAGGAAGGCGAGGAGAGCGAGGGCGGCCCGCGGCTCCGCGCGAGCAGGAAGGGGCCACCAGCGGGCGGGCCAGCCTCGAGCCCGTCCCGCGAGGGTGCCCCGACGAACGGAGGGGAAGCCAGAGGGCCGCACCGAGGGCGAGGAGGACGTGCAGCAGCGTCGGGGCATGACGCCCATCGCCGGCACCATCGCCGGCGGGGAGGCCCTCGGCGATCCCGCCGGGACCGGCCACGTGCGCCAGAAGACGTCGAGTGCGCGAGGGCGGCGGCGGAGGCTCGAGGGCGCAGCCGGGCCACGCGAGAGAGGCGCGCTGCAAGATTCTGAGATCTGCGGCCGGCGGTGCCGGCAGCGGACGCGGCGTGCAGGGAGGTGCCCGGCGGCCCGGGGCGGTGGAAGGCCTGCTGGCAGCCAGTCCACGCACTCCAGGAGGCGCGAGAGCTGACCGGACCAGAGCTCCCTGCACCGGAAAGCGGTTGGCGTCAAGGGCGAGCGGGCGCCCCTGCCAGCGGACGACGGGAAAGGCTTGAGAACAGACGCCCGACGCTCCCAGCGGGAAGATCGACCACTTCACACTGCTGGACTCGAACGGGCACCAGACGCTGCCCCTGAAGGTGAATTTCGACACCTGGCGCCTGGAGACAGCGGACCCCAAGGGCGGACGCACCGCCAAACTCAGGCACACTCGTGGGAGATGGGGAGATGACTGGTGGCAACAAGCTGGCGCCTCAGGCACTAAGTTGCGATCGAGGAGATGCCCAAGAGCTTCGGACTCCAGGTCGCGATGGAGGAGATAGCGCAGAAAGAAACACAAGTACCAGGCCGCGCTCGAGGAAGCACCGCAGAGCTCCAGGCACAAGGCCTAGAGCAAAGCAGTTGCGAAGAGCTTCAGGCGCAGAGAACATGGAGATGGCGCCCAGCCCACGAGCAGCAGGTACCAGGCCGCGATCGAGGAGACGCCAGGCGCGAGCATCAGACACCACGTCGTGATCGAAGAGGTAATAATCGTGAGCTTCAGGCACGCAATCGCGACCGAGGTGGTAGTAGCCAAGAGGCCAAGAGCTTCAAGCACCCGGGTGCGAACGAGGTGATTACAATCATGAGCACCAGGCACCAGACCGCGATCGGGAAGACACCCGACAAAAGTATCGTGGCGGAGAGCACTGATCTTCCTCATCCTCATCCTCATCCTCGCCCCTGCCTCCCTGCCTCCTCCTCCGCCATCCCTTTTCTCACAAATAGCTCCTCCCTGTCGCACCCCGAGACGCGTCAGTAGGGCGGGCCAGGCGAGACTCTCTCACCATGTACGATCCTTCAGCTTGCAGTGTGCAACAGCTTCACGAATGGAAGGCAGGCGGTTTTCAAAACATGGCTCGGGACGTGGCTATCGCCTGCGCGCCGCGCACATTCGTCTTAAAAGCAGCTTGCAAAAGCGTCACGGAGGGAGGACGTTTCCTTTTCAAAATGTGGCTCGCCACGACAACACGCACACTCGTCGTTCTAGCTTGCAAGAGCTTCACGGAGGGAGGGCGGCTCCGTTTCAAAGTACGGCTCTCGCCTCGGCACCGCGCACAGTTGTTGGTGTAAAAAGAGTCGCAGAAGTTGCACTGGTTGGTCATTTTTTTTCTTTAAACGTGGTTTTCGCCTCAGCGCCGCGAACATTGGTCTTAATAGCTTGCAAGAGCTTCACGGAGGGAGGGCGGTTCCTGTTCAATTTGTAGTTTTGAAAACGCTCGCAGAAGTGTCACACCTGCTGTTTTACAACCGCGTTCGCCGTGGAGAGAAGGTTCACGGATTGAGATCAGAAATGTTTCCAAATGCGGTGTTCGCCTCGACGCCGCGCACATTGGCTTCAAAAGTGTGCAACAGTTTCAAGGATAGAAGGCGGCTCCTTTCAAAAATGTGGCTCTCGCCGTAGCGACACGCACGCGCACTCGCTTTAAAAATTGCAACAAGTTTCACGCGTTGAGGGCGGGTCGGTTTCAACATGTGGCTCTCGCCTGCACGCCGCGCACATTCGCCTTCAAAATTTGCAAGAGCTTCACGGAGTGAGGGCGGCTCCTTTTCAAAATGTCTCTCTCGCTTTGGAGCCGCGCACATTCGGTTTACAAGCTTGCAGCAGCTTCACGGATGGAGGGCGGGCGGCTTTGAACATGTGGTGTTCGCTTTGGCGCTCCGCACGTTGGTCTCAAGAGATTACAACAGTTTCTGGACTCTTTATGGCTGACGTCCCAGAAGTTGTGCTTTGGCACGGCATGGGACTGCCAGGGCACGACAGTCACGTTGATTCACGGTGCTGGAGTCCTAGGAATTGTGTTCTGGCACGACTCAGGATCGTCATGTCGCAACAGTAACGTTGATTCGCGGCGTTAAAATCGCAGGAACTGTTTTGGACACAGCACAAGATTTTCAGACGGTTGTCTTCGCACGGAGCACTTCCGGCAGCGAAAATAAAGTCTCGCAGGGACATGTGAGGAGGGATATATGAAGAAGGGCCTTTGGGGAAGGGTTAATTGCAACATCGTTGATCGGTCTCGGGTAATGGTTTGACACTGGTCCTCCTCCTCCTCTTCCTGCTCCTCCTCCTCCTCCTCGTCCTCCTCCTCTTCCTGATGTTCCTCCTGCTTCTCCTCCTGCTCCTCTCTGCCTCCCTCCTGGGGCCTCATCTCCTCCCGGAAAGGGAGGACGCAGGACCGGACGTCGGAGCGACACAAAGGCGGCACCATCCAGCAAAGAACAGCGATCAGGCCAAACCCGCGTTCCGACGAAAGGCCGAATCCAAGGGTGGTACAGCAGGCCTGGCCTCCGTTGGACGCCATAGCGAAACGAAGTTGTCGCTATCGCTGCGTGCTCGGGGCTAACACGAGCCTGGATTCGGCGGTCCGCCTCCGACCTCGCCTGCACTCGTGGCCCTCGGCGGACCCGCTCGCTCGACGGCAGGAGACCGCAAGAAAGGCGTCGGCGTCCTGAGCAGCGTGGCGTCCCCCTGGCTCTTGGTGAAGGAGCCCCAGATCCTTACGGCGCATAGGAGGAGGAGGAGGAGGAGGAGGAGGAGGAGGACGATGAGGAGGAGGAGGAGGAGGAGGAGGAGGAGGAGGAGGAGGGGAGGAGGGGGGAGGACGAGGAGGAGGAGGAGGAGGCGGAGGAGGAGGAGGAGGAGGGGGAGGACGAGGAGGAGGGAGGAGGGAGGAGGGGAGGAGGAGGAGGAGGAGGAGGGGGGGGGAGGAGAGGAGGAGGAGAGGAGGAAGGAGGAGGAGGAGGAAGGAGGAGGAGGAGGAGGAGGACGAGGAGGAGGAGGAGGAGGAGGCGGAGGAGGAGGAGGAGGAGGAGGAGGAGGGGGAGGAGAGGAGGAGGAGGAGGCGTACTTTTGACTGCCGCTGCCCTCGAGCCCCCACACGCTACAGCCCCACGCCTCGGCGCCTCTGCCCACCGCAAATTCCCCGCCTCCGCCCTCCTCCTGCCCGGCCCTCGAGGACACTGGCCCGGCCCCAACGTCTGTAAAGGGGCCCCAGAACACACCAATAAACACACACACACACACACAGATAAAAAGATTCCCCATATTTTCCCATATTTTCTGGGCGTTTGTCTTCCCCCCCACACATCCCATAGTGTCGCATATTTTCCTGGGGATGGACGATTAATTGTGTCTGTGTGTGTGTTTTTCCCCTCCTGAGTCCGGGGAGACCAGAGGGCACCGATCCCGCCACTCCCCGGACCTCTCCCGGGGTGCGTTCTGGCCAAGATTTCGGGGCGAATCCAGCGGTGGCGACGACGGGCCTCCCAGGAGGCCGAAGGAGGGGGAAACGGCCGAAGGGCAGCGGTATGGGTATCTTTTTCCTCCTCTGACACATTGCACACCCGCAGGCCACTGCCGCTCAAAGCCACAAGCGCCGCCCAGAATCCCGCGCTCGTGTGTCACCGACTCGTTCTCGGGTGCCCGCCCCCCGCCTAGCACCTTGCCCGCCTAACTCACCGACTCCGCTCGCCGATTCCATATAGGGCGAGAGAGAGAGAGGAGAATGAAGGAAGGAACTAGGAAGGAGAGAAGAAAAAGAGATAAGGATAGAGACAACTAGGAAAGAGAGGAGGGAAGGAGAGAGGGGCCAGAGATGACAGAGGGAACTGGGAAGGAGAGGCAAGAGATGATTAAGGAGCGTCGAAGGGGGTGTCCTACGAAGAGGGAAAAAGTTTAGGGCTGGAGAACAGCGCTGAGCACAACGAGCTCGGCCAGACACACACACACACACACACACACACACACACACACTTTTTGCGTCGGCGGCTGGGCAGAGGGCGACTGCCCTGGCGGATTGGCAACAGGGGACACGATGTATGCAAACTAAGGCCGCAATGCAAGGAGGAGGAGGAGGAGGAGGAGGAGGAGGAGGAGGAGGAGGAGCCCCGGCGCGACAGGGGGAGAGGAAGCTGGGCCACTCTCAGAGCTGCCGACTGCGGCGGGGGGGCGCAGTCCAGAGAGGGGGGCCAGCGCCGGCACTGACCTGCCCTGAGCTGGAACTACACTGCACACACACACGACGGCAGGCGGACCTCACGACCACCGACCAGTCGCCAGAGCCACTGGCGAGAGGCCAGAGCCAGCCAGACCTCTCGCGGCCCAGCCGCAGGCAGCGCCCGGCGCACGCCAGGCCCGCCACGGCCAGCGGGGCCGGGCGCCCGGCTGTGTGGCGGCGCCCCGTCGGCCACGCACAAGCGACCTTGCCAGGGCCTCTTGGGAGGAGGAGGAGGAGGAGGAGGAGGAGGAGGAGGAGGAGGAGGAGGAGGAGAAGGCGGAGGGGAGGGAGGAGGAGGAGGAGGGGAGGAGGAGGAGGAGGGAGGAGGAGGAGAGAGGAGGGAGGAGGAAGAGGAGAGGGAGGAGGAGGAGAGATGGAGGAGGAGGGAGGAGACGGAGGAGGAGGAGGAGGAGGAGGAGGAGGAGGAGGAGAAGGGAGGAGGGAGGAGGAGGAGAAGGAGGAGGAGGAGGAGGAGGAGGAGCGAGGAGGAGGAGGCAAGGAGAGGCGGATGTTGCCCCTCCGTTCTTCCCCTCCCTCCCAGCCTGGAGGCAAGGAGGGGGCTCGAAATCCACATGTGCGTCGCCGCAAGGCGGGACCTGGCCACGTAGTCTTGCAGAGCGAGTGCGCACAGACTGTTCGAGCATGTCTAGACACGTATGCACATGGCATACAATATCATTAGGTGTGATATGATGTACACGTCCAATGATTATGATTGTGTTCTCTCGAAGCCCGCGGCTAGGCAACGCGCTCCATGCACACTCATTGCCAGGCGATGTTTCTCCTGGACCGCAAGGCCAGGTCATGTCACTACGAACGCCCAAGATCATGTTTCTCTCGGACCGCATAGTTTTTGTTCTGCACCCTCTCCGAGCACATGGTCAGGGCATGTGTTCTCCTGGAACGCATGACCTGGCATCAACGCAACCAAGGGTCAATCGCCAGCGTCTTTGGTGATCGCAGCACCAACCACAGCATCGACGGCAATTGCTGAATAGATCGAAAACCGCTGGCTCGACAGCAAAACGAACGGCAACAAGACACGCACACGCAAGGATTAGATTTGGGGGTGGGGCTACATGCGAATGCTACACGGTGTGCAGGACCGCTGCACACGTGACATGTGAAACGCCACCGTTCTATTATCTGTGTTGAAGACCCGACGACTGCGCAGGCACAGTACGGGCCCGATCACAAGAAACCTTCCACAAGAAACCCTACCCTGAGACCCCAGGACGCCCGTTGATTTCTGTTGCGGGAACGTCACGCACTCCATGGCAGAACCATCGAAGCCCAAGAGACCCAGGGCACCCTGGAGACAAGCAGGGCGTTTCTTGCCATGGGCCTCCACTGCATCACGTTCATGTTTGTGGAAGCCATGACAGTGGACACTCTAACAGTCCTATCATCGAATCAAAACCTGTGTTTAAAATGTGTAAACATTTTCTAAAACATGTTTCAAGCATGTCTTTTATATGTATAGCATGTGTGCAACATGTTGAAGACGGCCTTCCTCGCCATGAGTCGACTCCCGCAGGTGCAGCTCCACGGCTGCAGCCACGGGCTTTGGCTCGGCCGCCCCGGCGAAAAAAACACGAAGAGGCCCGGACCACGAGGCGCAGGCCCCTCGCCGACCCTCCCCGCCCCTCGCCGACCCTCCCGAGGAGCGGAGGGGGGAGGACGCGAGGGCTCCCAGGCTTCGCGCCTCGCGCGAGGCGCGAAGCGCGAAGTGCGAGCGCCTTCGCGCTCTCGCGCGCCGCCTCCCAGGGGAGAAGAGGAGGATGAGGAGGAGCCGGAGCCGGAGCGCGAAGCGCGAAGCGCGAGTGACTTCGCGCCCTCGAGGGCGCCCGGAAGAAGCAGGGAGCAGAGAGGGGGCTGGGGATGTGCACCTCGCGGACGGCGATCTTACCCCCCCCCTCTGCCACTTCGGGCGACGGGGGCCTCGAGCTGCGAGCAGCAGCAGTCCAGCTTACCATCCGCGCTCTCGAGCCGCCTGCCGAGGCCAAAGCCCGATCCGAGACCGTGAGCCGGACATCCTCCTCCCCCTGCGCGCGCGCGCCTCCCCTGTGCGCAGGGACCGACCGTCCCGCCGGCATTCCTGTAGGCCTACCACGACAGGCTCCTAGAACCGCCCCAAGACAACGTTCGAAGAACAGGAACCGTGTTCTTAGAGCGTGAGCCCAATGTGTGAAAGCAAGACAGTCTCAGCCAGAAATGTTCTACGAACATTTCGAGCAGACCACAAAAGGTTCATTTGAACATTCTTTGGTGGGCCTATAGGCGAGCCAGGACGCTTCGCCACTGCTTGACCCCTCGGCGGCAAGCCCGGGGGGAAGTGAGAAGAGGCGGGCCTTCTCAGAAGGCTCGGAAGTCCCCTGGCACTCTGGAAAGTTGTCTAAGCCTGCCCCGGCCGAAGACAGAGAAAGCTTCTCAGAAGGCGCGAGGGCTGCTGAGACGTCCCGCCGCCCTCTGAGAAGGTTTTCTCCTTCTCACTTCCCCCCTCGCTCGCCGCCGATCCCCCGAGCCTGCCCATCCGAGCGCGGCGCCTCTCCACGCAGCCCCCCCACTCGGACGCGACCCGCGAGGCCCTGCTGTACATTTTGTCCTGGTCCTTGATCAGCGTGGCCTGCGTGCGTGAGGCCACCGGGACGCCCCCCATGCTGGGCTTCTGAGATTCGCGCTCAAGGCTGCTCCTTCTCGTCGGCCTGGTCCTCCTCCACCTCCCTCCTCCTCCTCCTCCGCCTCCTCCTCTTCAGCCTCCTCGTCCTCCTCCTCCTCCTCCTCCTCCTCCTCCTCCTCCTCCTCCTCCTCCTCCTCCTCCTGCTACCCATACTCCTCCTCCTGCTCCTCATCCTCCTGCATCTCCTCCTCCAACTCATGAATTTGTCCCTGTTCCTCATCCCCCTGCGTCATCCTAGTCTCCTCCTCCTCCTCCTCCACCTCCTCCTCCTCCTCCTACTCCTTGTCCTCCTCCTCCACGTCCTCTCCTCCACCTCTCCTCCCCCGCTTCCTCCTCAACCTCCTCCCCGACCTCCTCCTGGTCCTCCTCATCCACCTCCTCCACGTCCATCTTCTCCTCTTGTCCTCCCCCTCATCCTCCACCTTCTCAACCTGTCATCCTCCTCCTCATCCTCAATATCATCATCAGCAGCATCAGCAGCATCATCATCATCAGAAGCATCATCAGCATCATCACCATCACCAGAATCATCATCAGCATCAGCATCATCATCATCAACAGCAGCAGCATCATCATTATCACCATCCTCATCAGCATCGTCATCTGCAGCAGCACCATCACCATCACCATCATCAGCATCATCACCATCAGCCTCACCAGTTCATCCTCATCTTCATCCTCATCCTCATCATCATCCTCCATGCCGTTTCTTGACGAATAACTATTCCCTGGTGCGCCCCGAGCCCGGTCGAAAGGGCGGGCCGGAAGTTTCGCCTGAGACTTCCTCACCAATAATGACCTTGAAGCATGAAAGCTGGCAACAGTTTCACAAGTGGAGGGCGGGGGTTTATCAAAATGTGGCTCTCGCCTTGGCGCCGCCCGCGCTCGTCCTAAAAAATGCAACAAGTTTCGCGGATTGAGGGCGGGTCGTTTTCAAAATGTGTCCATCGCTTTAGCGCCGCGCACACTCGTCTTGAAATATTGCTAGAGCTTCACGGATTGAGGGCGGCTCCTTTTCAAAATGTGGCTCTCGCCTGAGCGCCGCGCACACTCGTCTTGAAATATTGCTAGAGCTTCACGGATTGAGGGCGGGTCGTTTTCAAAATGTGTCCATCGCTTTAGCGCCGCGCACACTCGTCTTGAAATATTGCTAGAGCTTCACGGATTGAGGGCGGGTTGTTTTCAACATGTGGCTCTCGCCCTAGCGCCGCGCACACTCGTTTTGAAAAAAATACTGTTAAACTAATTCACGGATTGAGGGCGGGTCGTTTTCAAAATGTGGTTCTCGCCATAGCGCCGCGCACATCCGTCTTCAATGTTTGACAGAGTTTCACTGGTTCCCATGGCGAACGTACAAGCAACAATGTTTTGGAACGTCTCGGGACTGCCAGGGCGCAGCAGTCACGCGGATTCGCGATGTTGCAGTCCCAGGAAGAGCGTTCTGGCACCGTCAAGACGCAACAGTCAGGTGCATTCGTGGCGTGGAAGTCCCGAGAGTGGTGTTTTGGCACGCTTCAGCATCTTTGAACAGTTGTCTCCCAATGGGGCACTTCCCTTCATGGAAATGAAGCCTTGTAGGGGCCTATGAAAAGGGAGCCTGGTGGGAGGGTTGATTTCAACATCGTTGATGAGTCTTGGGTTTACACTGGTCCTCCTCTCCCTCCTCCTCCTCCTCCTCCTCCTCCTCCCTCTCCTCCTCCTCCTCCTCCTCCTCCTCCTCCTCCTCCTCCTCCTCCTCCTCCTCCTCTTTCTCCTCCTCCTCCTCCTCCTCCAACTCTTTTTCCTTGTGACAGTTCCTCCCTGTCGCGCCCCGGGGCCTGCAGGCAGGGCAGGCCGGGCAGATGTCCTGACACCCCTACCTTTGATGATCCTGAAGCGGGTCGCTTCCAAAATGTGGCCTCTAGCCATAGCGCCGCGCACTTTTTGGTCTGCGGGGCGAGAGCGAACCTCTTCCGGTTAAAAGCTAGGCGGGATACGCACAGCTCTAATTGGGGAGACAGGGCACAGGCGGGCGGGGCCTCAGGCGGCCTATAGCGCCGCGCACATTCGTTTCAAGAAATTGCAGGAGTTTCGCTCTATCGCCACAGCGCCGCGCACATTTTTGCTGCAAGAAGAGGCAAGAGGTAGGGCGGCTCAGTTTCAAAATGTGGCTATCGCCTGAGAGTCGCACACACTCTTTGCAAACACTCGCAAACATTCAAAGACTGGAGTCGGTTCATTTTCAAAATGTGGCTCTCGCCTCAGCGCCGCATACACTCATCTTTCAAAAATGCAACAAGTTTCACCGATTGAGGGCGGGTCGTTCTCAAATGTGGCTCTCGCCTCAGCGCCGCGCACATTCGATGTAAAAATGCAAGGGCTCCACGTGCTGAGGGCGGCTCCTTTTCAAAATGCGGCTCTCGCATTAGCGTCGCGCACCTTCTTTCTAAAGGTTTGCAAAAGCTTCACGGATTCCCATGAATGACGTACCCGAAACGTTGTCCTGGAACGACTCAAGACTGCCAGGACGCAACACTCACGCGGTTCGTGGTGTGTGTGTGTGTGTTGAAATCCAGTTATGGCTCAAGATCGTCAAGACGGAACAGTCAGGTCGACTCGTGGCGTAGTCCTGAGAATGGTATTTTGGTGTGCATCAGGATTTTCACGCGGTTGTCCCCCAACAGGGACCTTCCTTCAGTGAGAGTGAACCCTTTGTGAAGGGCTGACGAAGAAGGAGCTTGGAGGGAGGGTGTATTCCAACATCGTTGAGGAGTCTTGGTTTTACATTGGTCCTCCTACTCCTCCTCCCTTCCCCCTCTCCTCCCCCAGTCCTGAAACTTGTGAATAATTCCTCCCTGTCGCACTCCGACGCCTATCGGAAGGGCGGGCCAGGCGTTTTGCGTGGGATTCCCGAACCACTGATGATCCTACAGCTTCAAAACCGGCCACCAACGTTCACAAATTGAGGGCGGGTGGTTTCCAGCATGTGTCTCTCGCCTTTGCGCCGCGCGCACTTGTTTTTTTGTTGATCCACAGGGAGTTTCACTGATGGAGAGCGGGTCGTCTTCAAAATGTGGCTCTCGCCTTAGCGCCGCGCACTATCGGATTAAAACACTGCAAGAACTTCACTGATGGAGGGCGGGTCATTTTCAGAAGGTGGCGCTCGCCTTAGCGCCGGGCACATTCGTTTCAGAAGTTTACGAGAAATTCGCAAATTGAGGGCCGGTTCATTTTCAAAATGTGGCTCTCGCTTTATCGCCGCGCACACTCGTCTTATCAATTTGCAAGCGTTTCACGGAGTCCATGGTCAACATACCAGACATGGTGTTTGGGGAAAAACTCGGGATCGTCTGGGCGCAAAAGTTACGTCGATTCGCAGTGTTGCAGTCCCAGGAACGGCGTTCTGGCACGATTCAGGATCGCCGAGACGCAACAGTCTGGTTGATTTGTGGCGTCAGGGTCCCGAGAAGGGTACACCCTGCGAAATGCTTAAGAAATCATGGGTCAAGAAATTCATAGTCTCAGAACTTGAACAAAAACCCAAGATTTCTATCAAGATCTTAAGATTTACATTGAAACGTTAAGAATAATCGAGACTCTGGCCGAAAACTTAAGTTTTCTTAAGCATCGCCTGAGGTGTACTGTGGCACGCTTCAGGATGTTCGAACGGTTGTCCCCCAACGGGGCATTCCCCTCAGTGGCCATGAATCCCTATAGGGGTCTATGAAAAGGGAGCCTGGAGGCAGGGTGCATTCCACCATCGTTGGTGAGTCTTGGGTTTACACTGGTCCTTCTCCTCAACCGCCTCCTCCTCCTCCTCGTTCTCCTCGCCCTCCTGCAGATTAGTCGCAGGGAAATCCTCCTCTGAGTCATCAGTAACAACCCATAAGTATCGTCGTTGGTAACCGTCCTTGCACCCGCGGCAGTCTGCCGCTCTATAACATCCTTCATGCCCTCACGGTTGGCTCTCAGCACCACGTTTACGTGACTGTAGTCTCCACCACAGCATGTTGCCTCGCACAGCTCGGTGGACCTGGCAGGATTCAGGTTCAACTACATAACCGTCCTTACTCGGGCGGCAGTCTGCCGCTCTATAACCTCCTGCATGCCCTCACGGCTGGCTCTGAGCACCACGTTGACACAACTGTAGTCTCCACGACAGAACGCTGCCTCGCACAGCTCGGTGACCCTGGCAGGATTCAGGTTCGGCTACAGCAGGACCTAGGCAGAAAAACATCCCTCAAGAACACGAGACTCTCCGCCGGCCACAACAAAGAGAACATCTAAGGATACCCTCCCCGGGATGCACAAGAGCATCCAACAAACACGAAGAACATTAGGGCACCCTCCCCGAACCGATCTCGATCTTACACCTCGATCCGACTGTATGGATCTCGGTGTTGCGTTATGTGTGAACTTTGGCAAAGGATCTCCAGCTGCGCTGGGACCGCTGCTGTTCACATTGACCTCGCTCCGCTACGGTGCAAGTCCTGGAAAAGGCTGTGTAGACTAAGGCTGATACAATTTGAGCCAAAGGGCGTCGGCAACGACGGCCGCAGGATTCTCAGCAGGAAGTTTTTGACATTGCTTCTCGCCGCGACTTCTCGCCTAGTCGAGGTCGGACAGTCTGCCACATCCTCCACATCCTCCTCCTCCTCCTCCTCCTCATCATCATCATCATCATCATCATCATCATCATCATCCTCGTTCTGCTCTCGTTGTCTCTCATCCACCTCATGAACGTATAATCAGCATCATCATCATCAGCAGAAGCATCATCATCAGTAGCAGCAACATCAGCATCAGCATCATCAGAATCATCATCAGCAGCAGCATCATCTTCACCATCATCATCACCACCATCATCACCACCATCATCATCGTCAGTATCGTCATCATCGTCGTCATCATCATCATCACCACCATCATCATCATCATCATCATCATCATCATCAGCATCAGCATCAGCATCATCATCATCATGATCATCATCATTCTCGTCCACATCCGCATCCCCCTTCACACCCACATCCACATCCTCATCCTCGTCAGCATCAGCATCAACATCAACATCACCATCAGCGCCACCGTCTCCATCATCATCATCATCATCATCATCATCATCATCATCATCATCATCATCATCATCATCATCATCATCATCATCATCATCATCATCATCCCCCTCCTCCCCGCCCAGCGAGGCGGCGCCTCGGGCGAGTCGATGGCCAGGAAGTCGTGGAAGTACGTCGGGGCGCCCCTCTTCAGCCCCCACGAGGTGGCGGCGTAGGCGATGCGGTGGTGGCCGAACCCCATGCGGATGGTGCCCACCACCACGGAGTTGGCGGGCCACGCCGTCAGCGCCTGCGGCGCCGCGGCGTCCGCGTCCGCGGCGGCCTGCGCGAGGCGCGAGGTGACCCGCAGGCCCCGCACGAAGGGGGACTCCTTCTGGGCCAGCGGCAGCGGCACCGAGGACGGCACGTGGCCCCCGACGAACCACCTGAGCGACGGAGAGAAAAGCAGGCCTTGCGCGAGATGGCGTAGCGAGGCCTCGCGCGGTGGCTTGCGCGGGCCGCCCGCACAGCACGCCACACTGGAACCGAGGGCGCTCACGCGCGGACTCGCGCGGGCAGCTTGCGCGCCAACGTCGGCGCAGACGGCCCCGTTCCTCTGCGTCGCCCACCTGTTCATGACCACCGCCTGCACACGAAGGAAGAGCTGCACAAACTCAAGTCTCGGAGGTCCGCGCGGGCTTCTCGGATCGGCGCTGGGCCCCCCCTCCCTGGCGCGCGGGCCTGGCGCGGATCCACGGAATCCGCGCGGAACTCCGACACTCTCTGATTCTGCCATTCTTTCTCCTCCGAGCCTTGGCGCACACCTTGCCGCTCGGCGCGGTGTCCTGTAGCCACTCGTCCAGCTGGAAGCGGTTGTCCCGCTTCATCGACGCGTAGAGCCGCCTGGCCAGCACATCCAGCAGGCAGACCTGGGGGAACAACCTCCCTCCCTCCCTCCCTCCCTCCCTCTCCCAGGGTACATTCTTCGGGAAAGTGAGCGCTTCTTATTCGGAGTTTCGACATTGGGCCTCAAGGGGGGGGGAGGGGGGGGATCTGGCTCCGGACCTCTGCTCAGTGCGACTGTTTGCAACAGTGCGTCCAATGCGGGAGACTTCACCTGCTCCAAACAAGCACCAAAAACAGCCAAAGTCTACTCTTTTTATGGGGGCGGGTGCGGGTGCGAGGGCCCGCGCCGATCGGCAAAACAATGCATAGGAAAACGATCACAAAAAACGATCACAAAAATGAATAGGAAAACGATCACAAAAACAGCCAAGGTCTACTCTTTGGGGGGGGGCGGGTGCGAGGGCCCGCGCCGATCGGCAAAACAGTGAATAAGAAAACGATCACAAAAAAGAATTGCACAAAGAAGAAAGCTAAGTTAAGCTAGGCGAAGCTAAGATGAGATAAGCAAAGCTAAGCTAAGGGGGCGCAACTGGGGGAACCGCGGGGCGGATGCTGGGGGAACCGCCCGGGGCGAGGAACACTGCCCAGCCCCTTTAAGCCCAGCGAGTAAGAACCCTCTAGGCAGAGCCTAGGTAGGGAACAAAAAAGAATTGCACAAACACGAGATTTCGGAGACTCGCGCGGACTTCTTGGACCGGCGCTGGACGACCCCTCCCTGGCGCGCGGAGCGCGCTGGCGCCACCAGCGGGGCTCCAGCGCCGCTCTGACAGAGCCGCGCAGACCTCCGACAAGACATATCTCTGTCGGAGGTCGGGGTAAGGTCGGGCATGTCCTCCTAAAGGCGGGTTCTGGCAGATTTTTTTTAACAAGAAAAAATCAAATGATGATCAAACATATCAAAAATAATAGAAAGAAACGTCCCCTGACTGCTGGCTGACTGTCTTTGAATGTTCCTCCTGTAGAGGGACATGGCTAGGGGGTGAGATCGCAAGCCCACTACCGGGAGAAAGGTTTCAGTTTCGTGTTCGGGTCGTGCAGGCGGGCGAGGCGAAGCTGCGTGGGCTCGCGAGAGGAATGATCCCGCCGTCGCCAGGGCGATCCGGATGCAGAATTCTGGCCCTGCGGTGGGCGCGCGGTGGCTGAGGGTGTCCCGCCGTTGTGTCTCCCTGTGTCCCGATGGTGTCCCGCGGTGTCTCGCCGTGGTGTCCCGCGAGAGGAAGGCTCCCGCCGCCGCTGGGGCGATGCGGGTGCAAAAACTCCCGCCCTCCAACCGTGCGCGCGGTGGCCGGGGGGGCCCCGCCGTGGTGTCCCGCGGTGTCCCGCTGGTGTCCCGCTGGTGTCCCGCAAGTGTCGCATGGTGTCCCGTGGTGTTCCGCGGAGTCCCGCGGTGTCCCGCCGTGGTGTCCCGATCGTGCCCCGACCGAGTGAGATCGATGCTTAGATCGACAACCACCGAGATGTGGTGAGATCGGTAGTGACATGGATACAAGAGAGAGTGAGATCGGTAGTTACATCGATCGTGCGAGCGGCAGTGAGATCGATAGTGGAATCGATAGTTGCATCGATAGTGCAATCGATAGTGAGGTCGACAGTGCGATCGATTGCGAGATCGACATGATCGACAGTGAGATCGAAAGTGGGATCGATTGTGAGCTCGATTGTGAGCTCGATTGAGATCGCTTCAGAGATCAAATGCGAAATCGATAGGAGACCGGTTGAGTGAGGTCGATAGTAAGATCGATCGTGCGATCGATAATCGATTGTGAGATCGACTGTGGGATCGATAGTGCGATCCGTTGAGTGAGATCGATCGAGTGAATCGATAGCAGGGTCGATAGTGACATCACACTGCGGCGCAACATCGTCGTCGCGCGTCGTCGCCAACTCGAGGGCGCGCCACCAGCATCGTCAGCATCGCACCAGTCGCAGTCGCTCGCAGTTGGTTCTCTCCCCTCCCCCCAACCTCGTTATCACCCGAAGGGTAGTCGTATAGTCGGGAGCGGCCAAGAGGGGTGTGTCCAAGAGGGGGGGGTGCAAATCATGACCGGCGGCATGTGCGTGGCCCAGCGGGGGGGCCAGGGATGTAATGAAGAAAGAAGAGGCGCCACGAAATCTGGGGAAATATCATGACCCCCGCCATGATATCCACCCCCCCCTAGTCATCACCCCCCCCCTTTCCGCCCCAAAAATGCTCGCAAAAGGTCAAACAATACTTTAGAAAGAGTCCCCAGACTATTCTTGGACTATTGTTTGGCTATTTTTGGGGGTGTTTTTAATTTTGCGTCGAAAATCCCTCTGTAGGGGGACAGGCCCGACTTAAGGGTAGTTGTATAGGTAAGTTGTCGTTCCCCGAACTTCCACCAAAAAACTCGAGGCGAACCCCGCCGTGCCCACGGGGGCCCTCCACGACGAGCGGCGGCCTCGGTGCCCCTTTTTCCTCCCCCGGGAGACGAGCAGCGCCGCGCCAGCAGCAGCCCCAAGCAGGGAGAGGACGGCAGTCTTCGCGAGCTCCTCTCGCCAAGGGCTCAACGACTTCCTCCTCCTCCTCCTCCTCCTCCTCCTCCTCCTCCTCCTCCTCCTCCTCCTCCTCCTCCTCCTCCTCCTCCTGCCGTCCCTCAACTCGCGCTGGAGCGGCCACGAGTTGCTCGAACTCCCCCTGGAGCTTCTCGGACTGCCGTAGAGATCCACATGGATTTGTTGGGACGTACCTGAATCTACTTCGACGCCGTACCTGCATTCACCTGGCTTTCTCTGGCTGGATCCCCGCGAGTCGATTCGCGAAGAGAAGTTGTCAAGCCCTCAGAGATCCTCAGACCCAAAAAAACACTCAAAATCGGTTCCTGGAACCCTCTCGGAGTGCATGAGGTGTAGTCTCTTTTAAGTTGGATACGCTTTTGACGGTCCTGGGGCCCAGTCCGAAAACGGTCCCCAGGGACAGAAAGAAACAAAAAACCTTCTCGAACCCAACACCTCGAACCTGCCCCCCTTCCTGCTCGCTGGAACCAGTGCTGGTAGAGGCCTCCCAGATGGGCTCCGCGTAATGGGGTCGGAGGATCGCGCCGCATCGCCAATGCATCGCCAATGCATCGCCGATGCATCGCCGATGCATCGCCGATGTATCGACGATGCATCGCCGACATCGGCGGTGCATCGGCGACGCTGGCGTCGGGCTTCGCATCAAGCCGCATTGCCGATGCATCGGCGATGCATCGGCGATCTTCTGACCCCATCTACTCCGACCCCATCTAGGAGGCCTCGTACTGGTCCACCTCAGAGCCCTGGCCGACTCCAATAGACAAGCGCGTTCCGGTACCCGTGAAGTAACGACTCGCAAATGGACCGGATCCGCCGCGGGAACTCACGATGGATCACATCGATGCGAACGACTTGTCTGAACATCTGCGAGTAGGCAACTTGCGATGACGAACCAACAACACACACACACACACACACCCATACCCATAGGGGGGTCGGAGAGGGCTATGGGTGCGTGTTGTCGGATGGGGGTCCCCGCTCGAACGGGAGCGTTCCCCAGGGTCCGACAACCCGCACCCATACCCATAGCCAGTCCTCCTCTCAACGACCCCCTTATGGGTATGGGTGTGTGTTGCTCGTTCGTCATGCGAGCAGTGGAGCGCGCTCGGCGACCCAGAGCTCCTCGGAGACCGCGAACGCGCGGTGGCCGCCGGGCTGCCGGGGCGCGCTGTGCGGTCGCCAGCCGACGCCCACCAGCACCAGCGCGGCGCACAGCACCAGCACGAGCACCCCCAGCGGGAAGCGGCAGCGGCGCGCCATCGCGGGCCTGCCGCCAGGCGGGCGCCGCGGGGCCTGCGATGATGTCCAGAGCGCTGGTGGCGTGTTTCCCCCCGCTGTCGAGGTCGGCACTCTTCCGCTGTGGGGTCCGGTTGTTGTTCGCGGGGGGATCCTCGTTCGCGCCGTTCTGGGGTCGGTTCCGTTTGGAACTGCCTTCTTTTCTTCCGTTTCGGGCTGCCATGTGGTTCCCGTTCTGTCTGGCGGAAAACAAAAGTGTGGCAAACGGAAGAGAGACGCCCCCAGCGCACTTGATATCAACTGAGCGTGGGGCGGCGTTGGAGGCCGCCCAAAGACTGGGGCCGGACCTGGACACCCCCCCCCTCCGCGAAAGGCTAACTACGAACGGTTTCTGCCATTCCAGGCCTCTGGGGACCCTCCCCGGGGCCGTCGAAAAAACGACTCGGGCCGAAAAAATGGTCCCTTGCCGTCGCTCGGACGTCCATTTCCCGTGCATGTTTCGGTTTCGTGCGTGTTTTTCCCAATATCCTAAGATGGGGTTCTTGTTATTACTTGGACGCCTCCTACTCCTTCTCCCTCCTCCTCTTTCCTCCTCTCCTCCTCCTCCTCTTTCCTCATACTCAGACCTACTCATACTCAGACTTACTCATACACAGACTTACTCATACTCAGACTTACTCATACTCAGATCTACTCATACTCAGACTTCCTCACACTCAGACATACTCATACACAGACTTACTCATACACAGACTTACTCACACCCAGACGTACTCATACACAGACTCACTCATACCCAGACTTACTCATACACAGTATTAGTCATACTCAGACTTCGCTTGGAGAGCAGATTGTGAGGATGTCTCAGGCGGGGCGCTGGTTACAGCACCCCTAAGGGGAGCCGCCAGGGGTGTTTGCACGGACTCGTTCGCGGTCATTTTGTGGGGATGTCTCAGGCGGCTTGCTTGTTTCTGGGCCCAACATCCTTCGCTTGGAGAGCAGATTGTGAGGATGTCTCAGGCGGGGCGCTGGTTTCAGCACCCCTAAGGGGAGCCGCCAGGGGTGTTTGCACGGGCTCGTTCGCGGCCATTTTGTGGGGATGTCTCAGGCGGTTTGCTTGTTTCTGGGCCCAACATCCTTCGCTTTCGGAGCAGATTTGGAGGATGTCTCGAGCGAGGCGCTCATTTTCACCCCCCAGGTGGGCCAGATTTTGAGGATGTCTCGATCGGTTTGCTTGTTTTGGTGGCCAGGCTCGTGGCCCTAAGGGGAGCCGCCAGGGGTGGTTGCACGGGCTCGTTCGCGGCCATGTTGTGGGGATGTCTCAGGCGGTTTGCTTGTTTCTGGGCTCAACATCCTTCGCTTTCGGAGCAGATTTGGAGGATGTCTCGAGCGAGGCGCTCATGTTCACCCCCCAGGTGGGCCAGATTTTGAGGATGTCTCGATCGGTTTGCTTGTTTTGGTGGCCAGGCTCGTGGGCGCAGATTCTTCTCAGGATGCCACAGGAGGCTCCAACAGGCTCCAGGAGGCCCCAGGAGACCACATGAGGTCCCAGGAGGCATCAGGAGGCCACAGAAAGACTCAAGAGGCCACAGGATGTCCCAAGAGGCTCCAGGAGGCCCCAGGAAGCTCCAGAAGGCCTCAGGAAACCACAGGAGGCCCCAGGAGGCAACAGGAAGCGCCAGGAGGCCTCGGAAGGCAACAGGAGGCCCCGAGAGGCCCCAGGAGCAGGAGGCCTCAGAAGGCAACAGGAGTGGCTCCAATCCCATGTGTTTTACGTATGCTCCTATCGATTGGGCCTCACCTGGAGCACGATTATTTGATGTTCTACGTATGTTTCTATAGATGGTCCTTCTCCTGTGTACACAATCCTAAATGTTTTACTCATGTTCCTATATATTGGGCCTCTCCTGGGGCACGAGTCCTTGGTGTTTTACGCGTGTTCCTATAGATTGCCCTTCTCCTGTGGCTCTAATCCGCAATGTTTTATGTACGTCTGTTGCTATAGATTGCGCCTCTCCTGGGGCACGAAACCTTCCTAGGAGGTCCCAGGAGGTCCCAAGAGGCTCCTGGAGACCCCAGGAAGCCCCAGTAGGTTTCAGGAGGCCCCAGGAGGCCCCAGGCTCATGCACAGAGACGCGCTCGTACTACTGAGGCTCATTCACACTCCAATTCATTCGCAGTTAGATTGATGTCCAGACCGTCACAACTGAAGCCCGTTAATATTCGAAAGCTCTTGCGCCTAGACATTCACGGCGGACAGGTCCATGCGAGTAGATGCACATATGGGGAGCTCCACGCAGTGAATAATTTTGGCTCGACGGTCCAGGATGGTCCTCGATGGTTTCCGCCGGCAACAAAAAAAATGCGCACGTCCGAGCGATGCCAGGGTCCTGGTGAATGGGTCGAGAGCTCGGGGGATCGACCCCGAGGTCTGGGGAGCGGGGTGGGGTCGGAGGATCGGCGAGGCTAGGGGGCCACATGCGAACCCTACCCCTACCCCCCACGGTTTCTGAGGGGGAGGGTGGGGTTCACTTGGCTCGGGAGCTCTCGAGCGAAGTGAACCCCACCCTCCCCCTCAGAAATCGTGGGGGGTAGGGGTAGGGTTCGCATGTGGCCCCCTGGAGGCGCCGCCGATGCGCAGGTGATCGCCAAATGGCATCGGTGGCCTCGGGACCAGATCGGGCGCCAGATCGCGCCGCGGGCGGCGCGAGCAGTCATGCCATTGCAAGATCCTGCAGGGTCCTGCAGGATCCTGCAGGATCACCCTGCAGGATCCTGCAAGATCCTGCAGGGTCAATGCGACCCCAGCATTGACCCTGCAGGGTCACATTGACCCTGCAAGATCTGCAGGGTCGCATTGACCCTGCAGGGACACATTGACCCTGCATTGACCCTGCAGGGTCAATGCAAAACCTTGCAGGGTCGCATTGACCCTGCAAGATCCTGCAGGGTCAATGCGACCCTGACCCTGCAGGATCCTGCAAGATCCGCCTCTCTGACTGGCCCCCGTTTGGACCGACCCCCGTCCCGTGAGCCCCGAGAGCCACAGACCCCATGTACTTCCGGGGGGGGGGGGGCCAAGAGGCCAAAGGAGGTCCCCAGAGGTCCACGGAGGTCCTGGGAGGTCTTCGGAAGCACCCGAGGAGATCTCCGGAGGCCCGAAAGGGGCCAAAAGAACGGCCAAGAATCTTGGCCCTCAAACTCTCAAACTCAATGGTACGACCGCGCACCCGAAGGCGAGCCCAGTCCGGGCGCAGGCGCTGGCAATCCGCAGCGTGCTCCACACGCGCGCGTGCCACGGTGATGGCAACAGCACGTGCGTATGCTCTACAGTCGATCCAGAGGCCTCGAACCTCGACCCGAAGACCTCGATCCTGGACAACCTCATCCGCTGACCTCGAGCCTCGATCCGACAGCCTCGAACCTCGATCCGGCAAGCTCGGACCCCGTTCCAGCAACGTCGAGCCTCGAAGGCCGCCGACGAGGGGGCAGAGCGAGGCCAAGAGCCTCGACCGCCCCACCACAGACAGACAACCCCAGTGAGGAGCAACGGTGAGGGGGTGGCCCAGGGGGGAACATCGAGCCAAAATCGGCGACACGTCGTCGATGGATCGGCGAGGGCCCCCGATGGCAAAACCGCGCGTTCCTGGGCGGGGGGGGGGGGGGCCTGCGAATGCCTCGGATTAGCCAAGAAAGCTCGAACAGCAGATGCCTCTTGGATCTGCAGTGGCACAGCGTGCGCAATGCTACGGATGTGCAAGGACCTGCGATGGACAGCTACGGATAGCAAAGCACAACGTAGAGGATTACTTGGAATAGAAAGTGATGTTGCTCTATCCTCTGTATTATTTTCCTCCTTCTCCTCCTCCTCCTCCTCCTCCTCCTCCTCCTCCTCCTCCTGCGCCTGCTCCTGCTTCTGCTGTTCCTCCTCTTCCTCCACATCCTCCTCCTTCTCCTCCTCCTCCTCCTCCTCGTTTTTTTACGCTTTACAACCTGAGCGTGAAGCTGCGGCGTTAGTGGTGGCGGAAGAAAAAACGACTCGGGTCAAAAGACACCTGGCGGGCGCCGCGGGACTTGAAAGAGTGCGAGCGCCGATCGTAAAAATCGTGAGAGAAGGCGCCTGCCAGGCGTGACGACACTCACTTTAGTTGGATATCAGCAGCAATATCAACAACAAGTAGAGTAAGTAAACAACCTTAGATCGATGATGAGTGCCGTCGCCGCTGGGCAAATATAGAATGACGGCACGGTTTGGATGTTCGTAGGTCGTGCCGTCCCTGTGTTGACAATGTTCTAGGCAAATGCAACGATCGCCATACGTATGGGAAAAGAAGAAGAAGAAGAAAAAAAAAAAAGAAAACCAAAACAAACTGTGAGCAGTCCTAGGGTTGGTGCTCAGGGTTCTGGCGTACCCCAATTCTGCTGATCCCCCCAGCCCCCAATCCTCGTTCCCGCCCTTCCCTTGTTATCCAGCAGTTCTTGGGATGCTGCCCGTGTTGTAACAAACTAGATGCAGGACTGGCCATAGTAAACTTTGTACATGGGCCCTCTTGCCAGCAATAGGCCCGCTCTTCTAGCCAGCTGTAGGCCCGCTCTTCGGTTCCTAGGTGGGGGGGGCACCATCACCGTCTGTCGGTCTGGAGCGTGGGGTAGGAATGCGGGGAGCGACAAGTAGGAGAGGAGAGGATGCAAAGACAGTGTGAGGCCATCGGTAGCAGCTGCGGCCTCTGAGTAGTGAGAGCTTTTACTGTAGAAGAACAAGTTGTTGCTTCTAGCACTTCTTGGGATGCTGCCCGTGTTTTAAAACAGGTGCACGTCTGCTATGGTAAAAGAGGTGCTGGCAGTTCTATGGCTGCGACCCACGGATTTCACACCAGAGAACTGTCCCGTTTTGTTGGGCTCAATTTTCCCAACGAGGATGGAGCACAACGACGACAAAGACTGGGGGAAGGAGATTGCAGAGGGATGAGGGAGGAGCGAGGAAGTAGAAGACGAGGTAGAGGAGGAGCAAAAAAACGGAGGCGCTCTGCCGTAGCAAATCCCTATAGGTATGTGCGCTCTGCCGTGGCAGATCCGCACAGGCATCTACAATCCAAGTTGTCTGTGGTTATTCCTCGGCATTTTCAGATGGCGCTGGCGCGAAACGTGACGTTACGGGTCCCCCCCTCGGTAACGCCCGCTATCGCCCCGGAATACAAAAACAAACTGTTCTGTCGGCGATCAAAGAGCGATTGGGGGTCGATGCATCCCCCTTTGCGCCTATCCCCCCGTAAAGTTGCCCCTGGTCCGACTTGCATTCGGATCGTAAGTCGGCTCTCCGGCAGCCGTTCGGCAATGTCTGGGCGGGCCCCCCCTAAACGCTCTCGGCGAGGCGCAGCTGTTGCAACGCACCCTGAGGCTGGAAAACCGCCAAGAGCCGACGGAAACTCCCGAAAACCTTGATTTCCAGTGGTTCCCTCTTTGTCCGGCCAACCCATGACCGAAGGGGCTGCTGCAAAGGGGGCAGAGATGGAAGTGACAGGACCACCAGCTCGCGAAGACTGGCCCCCCCCCCGAAAGGTCGAATGGCCAGCCCCCGCGCCATGATCGCCAGTCGCTAACCCCCAAGCCCCGCACCTCGAATACTATGGCCCCTCCCCCCCCCCACCCGTTGCCCCCGGCAAAGGGGGCGCCCCAAAAGGGGAGGGTGGGGGGGGGGCAAGAAGGCACCGACACCGCTGAGCCCCAGACCTCCCCAGAAGTGCGTTCTGCCCGGTACTTCAAGGAGGATCCAGCCGTGGCCACGAAGGATATCCATCAGAATATCTTCCACCCATCACAAACCGTCAATGTATCATGATGCGTTTCCCACTTTCGCGATATCTTCGACCTGGGCGTGCGAGGTCTGGCCTCCTGCTGGCTGGAGGGCAAGAAAGTGTTGCTGCCGGCTGTGCTGCCTTTCGGCGTCTCCCGGGCTCTTTGGAGCCCGACACGTACGAATGTCTGCCAAATCGATCGGTACCGCCATGTTTTCCTCCTGGGCTCGTGGGCGAAAAAGATCTCCGCCTCCACGGCCTCGCGGGCTGGGCCCCTGGGCCGCAACGCCGCGGACACGGGGGCGTTTTCACGCCGATGCCCCGCGCGGCACGGAGTCGCGCAACCGCGCACCCGCGGGATCACGCCCCGTAATCCAGACCGCGCGGGGGCACGGACATGGATACGTTCGCCGCTCGCGACTTCGGCCGCCCTCTTCAGCCCCACTGGGGGCAGGAGCGGCAAGAGGAGGGGGGGGGGGGAAGTAAGAGAGGAAGGAGGAGAAGGAGGAAGGAGAGGGGAGCGGGGCTGTGAGCGGAGGAGGGAGGAAAGGAGGAGGGGGGGGAGGGGGAGGAGGGGGAGGAGGAGGAGGAGGAAGAGGAGGAGGAGGTGGCGGGAGCCTGCCACGAGGGCGCCATGCCGATTGGAATTTCAGAGAGCGGGCACTATAGCCCCTGCTTTTGCCGAGCTCCAGCCTCCAGAGCCTGAGCTCCCAACGACTGGGTTTGGGCCAGCGTGAGCCCGAAGGAGGCGAGCGCCTCCGAAAAGGCTGGTCTCCTGAGGCTTTGCGCCAAAGAGACCGCGGGGCCCACCCCTGTCGGGTTGGCCCGAATTGAGGCTTCAACATGCCCCCCAACGCCTCCATCAGTTCTTCCGGAAGGGGGGGCGAGGCACCGAGGACGCCCTTCCCCTTCCTAGGGTGGCGCTGCACCGACGGGTCCGCGCTGCGACTCGCGGGGGCGGGGGCCATTGACCCGTCATGGCAGCATTCTACGAGGCCACGGCCTTTCACTTCTGATGCATGGCCTGCGAACCGCAGGCATAAAAGGAGTGAGCCTGCCGGGCGGGAGGGAGGACACCTTCGGACGAGGACGAGCGATCGGAGGAGGGGGAGGAGGAGGAGGAGGAGGGAGTAGGAGGAGGAGGAGAAGGGAGGAGGGAGGAGGGACGAGGGAGGAGGGAGGAGGGAGGAGAAAGGAGGAAGGAGGGAGGAGGGAGGAGGGAGAAGGGAAAGGGAGAGGGAGGAGGAGGAGGGACGAGAAAGGAGGAAGGAGGGAGGAGGAAGATGCACGCCACGCCTCCTCCGTTGGGAAGATGGGCGCGGCCAAAACCTGGTGGCCGTTCGCGCGCCGGGAAGGCCCGCTCACGGCGGCCGCTTCGCCGCCAGGGCTGCGTGGCTGCCAACTCGCGCCCTGAGGAGGAGGAGGAGGAGGAGGAGGAGGAGGAGGAGGAGGAGGAGGAGGAGGAGAAGGGTGAGTTGTTTAACTAGGCACGAGGCCTGCTGTCAGCAGCAGGAGCAGCGGCCATGCGGGGAGACCTCCACATGGGCGACTTCTCACAGAATAACTGGGGTATGCTGAGAAGACTATGCGCCACGCAGCGGGCGCAAAACTGGAAGCACTGCAAAGACTGCCATAAAATACAGAGAGGCACGACGAATCAGCTGCACAAAACAAACCTCCACTGTAAGACCTGGCAGGGGTCAGGGCAAGGGGGCTGTCTCGAAACAAGGAAGCCATCGTAAAGCGTAGGACGACGCAGGGACAGAGCCAACGGGACCAGACTTGGGGCAACCCCACAATGGACCAATTGCTCATTGTCTCCCTGCCGCCAGCAGGTGCCCAAGTACAGACATGCAAATAAATGCTGCGTGGCAAATAAATACAAATAAGCGAGGTTCTGCCTCCGCGGAAAAGCCTTGACTGACAGGAGGGCACACTCTACACAAGAGTGCGGGCCACTGGCAGCAAACAGCAAAGCTCGGACACACTGCCGACCGCCACGGTGATGCGGCGGCAAGACAGCGACGCGTGAAGAGGGCAAAGAGAAAGACACAGGGCTATTTCCCACGAAGGGAGGATGCCCCGTGTCTAACTGCCTATCCCCAGCGTCAATCCGACGATCCCGAATATGAGCCGCCACAAACCAATCGAGTCGGGATCAAAACAGAACCCCAGACGGAGGCCGACGACGACGCGCGCCCCTGCATCTCCGAGCTGCATGCTGAAGGCGCGCCGGTCACAGAAAACAGAGCACGAGCTGTTTCCTCGCCGGCCTCGTCGTCTTCGAACATGGAACCCGGGTTGGGGGCCAGGGCCTCGCCCTCGAGAGGGGGCCCAGCCGCGGCAGCGACGGCCCTGCCAGCGGCAGCAGGGAAGGACAACTCCTCCCCGCCAACCACCTGACTGACATCGCTGCGTCCAGCTTCGGCTCACGAGTAAGCGAGCTGTCTTTGGGACGGAGGCCTCTTCTGGGGAATCTAACCACTGCAATTGCTGACTCGGTGATCTTGCGGGGGTCCAACTGGAGGCATTGTTTCCGCAGTTTCTTGACGTGACCACCGCTATAATATCAAAAAAACAAAGAGAAAGCATGGTGGCATTGGAGCAGGCGAGGGCGACAATACGATGGCCTCTCGTGTAGAGAGGTGACACAAAATTGGCAGCTTGCCTGAACAGCCTCTGTTGGGCAGATTAACTACCTGTCTCTTGAAGCGAAGGAAGGTTTGGCACCTCCAAAATTTCCCGAGTCAGGCCCAATCGCGAGGCAACGAATGAGAGCCCTTCTTCACCAAGGACTCAGCAGCAACACGGGAAACGCCAGACATATCTAGCCTGGGCCAGCGCGGCAGAGGAGGAGGAGGAGGAGGAGATGAGGAGGAGGAGGAGGAGGAGGAGGAGGAGGAGGAGAGGGAGGGGCTGCGAGAGGAGGAGGAGGAGGAGGAGGAGGAGGAAGAGGAAGAGGAAGAGGAGGAGGAGGAGGGAGAGAAGGAGAAGCGAACGTCCACTGGAGGGAACGGTCTGTCTGTTACGGGCGCCCGCGCGGCCCCGCACCGCCCACGGGGCACGAGAGAAGCCTCAGGGCGCGACGCGGGGCGGCCACGGCCGCGGCGTTCTTCTTGTACGGATGGGAGTTCTGGACGAACGCGGCCCTGAGCTCGTTGATGGAGTGCGGGTCGGTGTTCACCGTGTTGCGGATGCGGAGGAAGTTGTATGTCTTGAACGATACAGCCATGCGTGCGATGGCGTGGCGTGTGTCGTTCTCGACGTCCTGGATCTCACCGTTGAGCCAAAGCAGGTCAGGATGCTGGCGGATACTATGCCACGAGGCTGGCAGACGTGCGACCACATTATCGGGCATGCGAGGTAGTGCGATATGTCGGCGATGTTGTGGCTGCCCTCGCTGATGGGGCAGCTGAGCAGGCAGTTGTGCTTGTGCGGGTTCACGTGCATGCGGTAGCTGGTCGTCCATGCGTCTGCGAGCGTCTTGAGTGCAGGCCATAGCTTCGACGGAGGTTCATGTGCGAGGTGAGCTCGAAGTGTAATCCATGCCGCGGCCAGGGATGCAGGCCACTCGAGGATGATGTCGGTATGTGGCGGCTCGCTGCCTCCACGCGCGACATCGTCAGGAAGCCAGCGATCTTGAGCGGCGGGCTCGGTGTTCAGCAGCTTGTTCTTCTTATTATCATTGTTCTTCCCATTCACGGTGTACGGCAGCTGTTGAGGAGGAGGAGGAGGAGGACGAGGAGGAGGAGGAGGAGGAGGAGGAGAGGGAGGGGGCGTGAGCGAAGGAGGAGGAGGAGGAGGAGGAGGAGGAGGAGAAGAAGAAGGCGGAGGAGGAGGCGGAGGCGGAGGCGGAGGAGGAGGACACGTCCGCCGTTCGTGCTGGGCCCCGCCTGGGCGCCTGGGCGGACGGGGGCGTCCGGCGCCCGACCCCGGGGGGGGGGGCGGGCTGGGCGGCAGAGCCAGCGCTGCGGGCGGCGCGCGGCCTGCGAGACCGGACGGCGACGGCGAAAACGACGACGACAGCGACGGCGACGACGACGACGACGGCGACGGCGACGACGACGACGACGGCGACGACGACGGCGGCGGCGACGACGACGGCGGCGGCGGCGACGACGACGATGGCGGCAGCGGCGACGATGGCGGCAACGGCGGCGGCAACGGCGGCGGCGGGCGCGAGGGCCAGGGAAAGGGCGAGGAAGCGAAGAGAGAGGGGAGGAGGGGAGAGGGGAGGAGGGGAGAGGGGAGGAGGGGAGAAGGAGAGGGAAGGAGGGGAGAATGAGGGCGAGGAGCGGGATTTGTTTGGGGGGGTCAGCCAGGCTTGTGCAGAGCCGCATGCCGCGAAGGACCTCGATGGGGCGCTACAGGCGCCACCTGCACGCGGGCGTGCACGCGCAGGGACGGCGAGCTCTTCCGCTGGGCCTTAGGGGGGGGAGGGAGCAGGGATGGGGGTCGCCGTCGTCGTCGTCGTCGTCGTCGTCGTCGTCGTCGTCGTCGTCGTCGTCGTCGTCGTCGTCGTCGTCGTCGTCGTCGTCGTCAACGTCGTCGTCTGGCGAGGTCGAGGAGGCACCGCCGCCAAGCTTCCTCGGGCGGCCTCGACTCCCGATCCAGGCATCGGGCCTGGCAGCACGAAAGACATGGCCATCGAGGGTGCTGGTTCACTTGGAGGCTCCGTCGTCGTCGTCACCATCACCACAAGAAACACCATCATCATAATCATCATCAGCAGCATCATCATCAGCAGCAGCATCATCATCCTCAGCATCATCAGCATCAGCATCGGCATCAGCATCGTCATCATAACCACCATCATCATCATCATCATCATCATCATCATCATCATCATCATCATCATCATCATCATCATCATCATCAATGTCATCAGCATCAGCATCAGCAGCAGCATCATCATCAACATCATCATCATCATCAGCATCATCAGCAGCAGCATCAACCTCATCAGTAGTAGCAGCAGCATCATCGTCATCGTCCGCATCAGCATCAACAGCAGCATCATCATCAGCAGCACCAGCAGTAACATCATCATCATCATCATCATCATCAACATCAACAGCAGCACCACCATTAGCGTCATCGTCATCATCAGCATCAATATAAACAACATCATCATCAGCATCATCATGATCATCGTCATCGTCGTCGTCAACGGTATTATCATCAGCAGCAGCTGCATCATCAACACCACCATCACCATCGGCATCATCACCACCACCATCACCACTACCACGATCACGAGTAAACAGCATCATGAGCCGGGCGGCTAGAGGCAGGGTTCGCCGCGTTCTCTCGACGTAGGGGGCACGGCGAGCGAAGACTGACCCTCCTCCATCCCCTACCCCTCCTCCATCTCCTCCTCCTCCTCCTCCTGATCCTCCTCCTCCTCCTCCTCCTCCTCCTCCTCCTCCTCCTCCTCTTCCTTCTCCTCCTCATTATTCTCCTTTCATCCTCCTCGTACTCCTTCCTCCTCCTCCTCCTCCTCCTCCTCCTCCTCCTCCTCCCCTCCTGCTCTCCCCTCCCCTCTCCACCCGCCCCCCCCCCTTCCCCTGGCCACGCATGCGCCGACTCCTCTTCTGCACCGGGCGCCGCAGGCCGAAAATACGGATCCCCGCCCTCGGGCGGGCGGCGGCGGCGTCGAGCGGGAAGGGCAGGAGGAAGGGCAGGAGGGCAGGCCCCCCCGGGCGGCACGACAGCGCACATCGAGGAGGAAAGAGGTCCCTGCACGCTGCTGCGGCACAGACGGGCGGCGGCATCAGAATCCTACCCCCACCTACCACGGATTCTCCTGAGCATACATACATACATACATACATACATACATACATACATGCATGCATGCATGCATGCATGCATGCATGCATGCATACATACATGCATACATACATACAAAAAATGTGTTGGATACCAGAGACAAACAAATGATAAACTTCTTAGGGCTATCGGCTATAGGGCTATAGGGCAGTAGGGCTATAAGACAATCGGGTTATAGGGCTATGGTGCTATAAGGCTATGGGACTACAGGGCTATAGGGCTCCAGGGCTCTAGGGCTATAGCGCTATAGGGATATGGGGCTACAGGGCTATAAGGCTATAAGGATATAAGGCTATAGGGCTATAGGGCTATAGGGCTATTGGGCTATCGGGCTATAGGGCTACTAGGGCTATAGGGCTATTGGGCGATTAGGGTTATAGAGCTATAGGGCTATAGGGATATAGGGCCATAGGGCTATAGGGCTATAGGGCTACAGGGCTATAGGGCTATAGGGCTACAGGGCTACAGGGCTACAAGGCTATAAGGCTGAAGGGCCATGGAGCTATATGGATATCGGGCTATAGGGCTACAGGGCTATTAGGGCTATTATACGGCTATAAGGCTATTGGGATATAGGGCTATAGGGCTATTGGGCTATAAGGCTTCAGTGCTATGGCTACATGGCTACCGGGCACCCGGGCACCCGAGCACCTGGGCACCCGGGCACCCTGGCACCCAGGCACCCAGGCACCGGGGCACCCGGGCACCCATGCACCTGGGCACCAGGGCACCCGGCCACCCGGGCACCCGGGCACCCGAGCACCCCGGGGCACACGCGGGCATACGGGAATCCGGGCACCCGGGCACCCGGGCTGGCCATCGAAATCGGCGGTCCACCTCACCTAACCATATGAATCCGCTCGGATCCCTACAGAAGCTCTGATTGGGGAACATATATACATACATACACACATACATACATGCATGCATGCATGCATGAATGCATGCGTGCATACATGCATGCATGCATGCCTACCTACCTACCTGCATACATACATACATACATACATACATACATACATACATACATACATACAAACAAACAAACAAACAAACAAACAGACATACAGCCATACATACATACATACACAAATACATGCATGCATACATACATGCATACATACATTCGTATACAGATATCTGCATACAAACATATATAGAGAGAGAACGATACATACGTACATGCATACATACACACATGCATACCTACATACATACATACATGCAGACAGACGCACATACATTACACTACATTGCATTGAATTGCATTACATTATATTACATTGCATTACAATACATTACATGACATTACATTACATTGCATTACATTATATTACAGCACATTACACTACATTACATTACATTGTACTACATGTACATACATGTAGGCTTATATATGTATATACGTCCCTACAACCATACATAGTTATCCCACCCACATGTAAGTGTGCATGTATACATATATGTATATCAATGTGTATGTATATGTACACACATGTATGTGTATATGTATATGTGTGTATGGGAGGCGGGGGTAGAGTTCGGGTTTCGCCACGTGCTCGACGAGTTCCGAACCTTACCCCCCACCACCCATCGAGTTGCCAGAATCGTAGATCGGCGAGGGTAGAATTCGGATTACGACGCCGAACATTGTTGAGGCACTCCCCCCGCCACGGCGGCAAGGGGGCTTGGGGGCCTGGGGCCTTAGAGCCCGGGGATTGGGGCTCGGAGAGAGCCCGACGGAGAGCTTGCGCAGGGAACGAACCATTTCACGCGAAACGACTCTTTCCACCCACGAAAAGCGTGTACCCACCTTCGCTTCATCCCTCCCTCTCTCCCTTCCCCCTTTCCTCCCCCTCTCCCTCTCTCCCTCCCCCCGTCCGTCCTATTACCAACCCTCCTTTCCTCCCACGCCCTCCTCCTGCTCTCCCTCCTTCTTCTTCTGCTCCTGCAGAGTCCACGCCAAGCTGGGGGGGGGGACAGAGGAGGTGGAGGAAAGTGGCGGGTGGGAGACACCGCTCCGCCGCTGGTGTGCTTACGGCTACCGGTGTCACTCGATTGCTGGCTGGGCGCGCAGGAAAAACTCCGGCTTGCATTCGGATGGAATGCAAGAACGGGCGAAAACGTGTGCGTCTGCGCGATACGGCTGCAGAGACGGCCGCCTCATTCGGTACCACCGCTTGCCCGTGGGCGCCCGGCAACGGGCATAGATAGGCGTGTGATCGCCATATGCTAGAGCTGACAGAAGCCACCAAGATGGTCTTGCCCCTGACGTATCATACCTCAGACTTCCCCCCTCCTCATCCTCCTCCTCCTCCACCTCCTCCTCCTCCAGATCCTCCAGATCCTCATCCTCCTCCTCCTCCTCCTCCTCCACCTCCTCCTCCTCCTCATCCTCCTCCCCTTCCTCCTCCTCCTCCTCCTACTCCTCCTCCTCCTCCTCCTCCTCCTCCTCCTCCTCCTCCTCCTCCTCCTCCTCCTCCTCCTCCTCCTCCTCCTCCTCCCTCCTCCCGCCCGCCCTCTCCGCCTTTCTGGGCCAGGTCGGGCTGGGTCGGGATTAGCATCATCATCATCATCATCATCAGCATCATCATCATCATCATCATCATCATCATCATCATCATCAGCATCAGCAGCAGCATCATCATCCTCTGGATAATCCTCCTCCTCCTCCTCCTCCTCCTCCACATCTCCTCCTCCTCCTCCTCCTCCTCCTCCTCCTCCTCCTCCTCCTCCTCCTCCTCCTCCTCCTCCTCCTCCTCCTCCTCCTCCTCCTCCTCCTCTATTACTCTTCTTATTACAATTACCATTACTATTCTTACTATCATTACCATTATTCTGGATAATCCTCCTCCTCCTCCTCTTCCTCCTCCTCCTCCTCCTCCTCCTCCTCTATTACTTCTTATTGCGATTACCATTACTATTCTTACTACTATTACTGTCCATCTTCGGATTCGTATGAATAATACCATTACGTATCGTGTTATTGTGTTTCGTATTGAAGTATTAACAATAATTTGAATCGTGGCCTTATGTATATTATTATGACTCTTCTTATTATTGTTATTATTACTATTATAATTATTCCTCCTCCTCCTCCTCCTACTGCGCCTCCTCCTCCTCCGTCCTCCAGATC